ACAATGAATGAGTGGAAGCCCAAAATCTCTGTAAATGTTTATGAAAATTAATAAAATATAATTATAGAAAAAAAAAAAGAAATGATGCTGGAGATAAGAAGAGATTTCTGCACAATCAATGACCTATTCATTGCAAACACTTATTTTAAGAAGTATAAACACAGACAATACACATGGAATCCACCTGATTGTATACACAGGAATCAGACCAACTACATCTATGGAAAGAATTGCTGGAGAAGCTCAGTATCAGCTGTGAAAACTAAGCCAGGTGCTGATTGTGGAATAGACCACCAAATACTCATATGCAAGTTCAAGTTTAAGCTAAAGAAGGTTAAATCAAATCCACAGAAGCCAAATTTACCTTGATTCTATCCCACTTGAATTTCAAAACCATCTCAGATTTGAGGACTTAAACACTAATGAGCAAAGACTAGATGAGCTGTGGGAGGATATCAAGAATATCAACCATGGAATGCAAAAGGTCATTACAAAGACAAAAGACAACAACAAAGACAGACGTTAGAAGAGACTCTGAACATCACACTAGGGCTCTGGGAAGCCAAAGGAAAGGGAAGACATCAAAAAATTAAAAAGCTGAACAAAAGATTTCAAAGGGCAGCACAGGAAGAAAAAGCAATGTATTATACTGAAATGTGTAAAGAGTTGTTGTCAGAAAATCAAAAGGGGTGAATGCACTTGGCATTTCTTAAGCTGACAGAACTGAAGAACAAATTCAAGCTTCAAGTTGCAATACTTAAGGATGCTTCGGGCAGAATATTTAATGATACAGAAAGCGTTAAAAGAAGATGGAAGGAGTATACAGAGGCACTGTAACAAAAAGAATTAGCTGACACAGAATTTCATGAAACAACCAAAGAGCAAGAGCCTGTGGTGAGGAAGGAAGAAATTCAAGCTGCTCTGAAGGAACTGGCAAAAAACAATGCGCCAGGAATGGACAGCCTATCAACTGACATATTTCAAAAAAACAGATGCTGCCCTTAATGTGCTCACCAAGTTGTGCCAAGAAATATGGAGGACAACCACCTTACTAACTGATTAGAAGAGATCCAAATTTGTTCCCACTCCAAAGAAAGGTGACTCGATAGAGAAATTATTGAATAATATCATTAATATCAAATACAAGCAAAACTCTGCTGAAAATTATCCAAAAATGACTGTAACGCACATCAACAGAGAGCAGCCAAATGATGCAGACTGGGTTTAGAAGAAGCACAAGGGTGAAAACACCACTTGCCAAAACCTCTGGGAAGCAGCCAAAGCAGTAATCAGAGGTCAACTTATAGCAATAAGCAAACACATCAAAAGACAGGAA